TTCTTAAAAACAAAACAAAACAACATCTCACATATAGCTAGACAACACAATGACATTGTTTTTTTTTTCAAAAAAAATAAAAAAAGTTTGATACTTCTACGACAATCACCAGCTTAACCAATGAATGAAATAATTGAACTTATCATAAAACTTTAGATAAAAGCAGAAATGTCAATCGAAATGAAAAGAAAAAAACGCAACATAACGAAACAAAGAAAAAACAAAGAAACACAACAAACGTTTCACCATTATAAAGTGTGAGTTAATAACTAATTTATTACATATTGTTTATCTAGGGTCATCAAGTTACCATAGTAATTAATAGTTTATTCAATTGATATGTCAAAATTAATTATCATAAGAAAAAAAATATTGACGAGAGAATGACTTTTTGATTCGTGCTAAATTAAATTAAACAAATAATAATAATGATTTGAATCATAAAAATATTTGATGAGTTTTTGTTGTTGTTGTTGTTGTTGGTGGTGGTGGTGGTGGTGTTCAGATTTATAAAATAGATTCAAACTACTTATTCATTGTTATTCTTTACTTCTTTTTTCTAAATGAAAGATGATTGGATGTTTGTTTCAATTGAGCATAAATACAACATGTAAATATTTGACTGATAGATGGGGTTATGTAATTTGAATAAATTTAAAGAGTATCATCCTGTATACATTGTAATTGTCTAAATATGAAATTATGAAATGACAATAGATGACCAATATAAACTTGAGAAGATAGGAAGATTATTATTATTATTCCGATTGTAATCAGATTATATTATTATTACTATGTTAATGTTCATTGTAACTATCCAGATAGGTTGCGTTCTAGTCTTTTTATGAGATAGTTTATATATATAAAAGAATATTAGTGGAAGAACAATGAATTATGTTAGGTTAAGCGTTCGCGCGCAAAACTGATAAGTTCTGGGTTCAAATCTCGTGGGGTGAGGTCGTGGATACGCACTGTTGAGGAGTTCAATACTAAGATGAAACAGTCATCCAGTGCTTTCAGGTTTTCTATGGTGTTCTAGCTTCAAATGACTTATGAATTCAACTACAAAATCTCCGCAAAGCCCCTTCTGATAATTATGTTTCTGTCAGCATCTCCACCTTCATACATTTTCAATGTTGGATTATTAAATTAGGATGAATCAAATATCTCATGATCTCTGGTGTTGGCTGATTCTCTAGTTGGCATCAGTTCACAGTAAGACTTTAAATTGAAGCCTATCGAATTAACACTAAAACATTACTTTCTAAATACAATATAGGTCAAGTTTAAAGTTTTGAAGGCGAGTATCATATACTGATATTTGTGAACGATTTGTGCAACGCATTTTGGTCTCGGTTTAGAAACTTAGTGTTTGTCTGAAGTTTAGTGTTACCATTCAAACTCAAGTAGTTAGTATAAGGTTTGAATACGTAACCTTATGATTCGTAGTTGGGTGTTTCGGTTATTCAACCTTTATTCTCTATACAGTTACTAAATTTAATGTTTCTGCTATCAGGTGCACTACGGCATACAGTGTAATTATATAATTCCTTTTCTGAAAATTTAATTAAATTATCTTTTTGAACTCTTTTTTAAGTAACATTTCAATTTACCCACGGTAATTCATTTACTTTATGGTAGTTTGTGCATAATGTAAAATGCATCATAACGTAAAATTAGGTTATCCACAGGTGAATTTCACAACATATTTATTAGAACTAAGTGAATGTTATAGTTAGATAGTATTTACATAATAGTCAATAATTAGTATAAGTAACGAATTAGTGATCGGTAAAATATGTCAGTATGAAAAAAACATGTATCTACGTGAATTTGTTGGGAAATAACTAGTTTAGTAAATTAGGTACCTTCGAAACAATAAGCAGGAACAATTATCATCAAATATAAGTGTGATAATTTACAAATTCAACTATAGAATTAGATTTCGAAGGTTAACATTTCGAACATCATTTATATTGTAATGTTGAGTGATTCTTTACGTAAAACCTGTTCTATCCCCAATACATTCCATATAGTCTGATTAAAACTATACGAAAATAGAGTCAGGATTTCACATAGCGATCTATTGCCCCAACTATTAAAGATCTCGTCAGTTAACCTTCTAAGAATTGGTCTTTTGTCAGGATGTATGTTTGTTAACAAAGAATACCCAGATAATTTAGTTCGGTTTGGTGAGTGCTGAAAAGATGCAGAGCTTTCTGATCCCTTTGAGGAACAAAGCAAACATTCTTGAGGTACATTTCCCCTTACAGAAATACTTGACTGAGTCAACTATTAAAATAATGGTAAGGAGTAAAGTAGTTAGTCGCATCAACCACATCACTTGTCTTGAAAGTCCTGATGAGTTCGTGTTTGACGAAATCTCTGTACAGATTTACAAAATTTACTTGGTTTTTTCCAGCTAAAGTTATTTACAGGAAATGTCGCGAATGTCATCCTTGTGTTTGTATAAAAATAATATCAGACTCAATACAACAATTCATTTCCAATGTTAAAATTATATTCATTGAATCAATGCTACAGTTACCATTGGATCGGAAAATGATTCTATTACCAAAAGCAATTATACAAATAACTTGGTAGCAACTAATGTTGTGCGTAAATCTTAATGGTAAGTAAATCCTATTGATCGAATTGCTGTGTGACCGCTCAGTACTTTATTGTTGGCGTTTGAAGTGAATGGTCATGCCTGTAAATTTTCTGCACAGTATTTAATAATTTTCTGAAGCAGTACCTAATCCTGGTAATAGGATATCATGGAATTTTGGCTGACAAATATTTAAGTTAAACTCGTAATGAGAACGAAGAAATTCACTGGACTGTAGTTAAATCAATTCACTTAACAATAAAATTATGTTCTAGATAGAATAGTTAAGTGTAACGAAAAATTTCCTAAAAGTAAAAACCTCCTTGTTGTTGTAATGTTCATTGTTAGAATTTAATAACTGGTAGAAATCATATTTTTAACTTGTGATAAGAAAAAAAACTATCTGTGTTTTTTATTACATGAAACTCAAGGTATTCGTATATTGGAAAAAAGTATTGTTCAAATAAAAATTTACTTCTTTCTACATTAAGTGAGAAGTGAACAAGTAAAAGTTAGGCAATTTATGAGGTACATAGTTTTATCATAAATTAGTTCATTAGTGCTGATGAATATTGAATAAACAGTCTAGATTTTCAATTGCTATCAATAATGAACATGTGGTTAGACTTTTCACGATATAATGTGACTTAAATAGATAATTAACAGTATATGGTTGTAGAGAATGTTAAGTTTTTATTAAGATCATGAATCAATCAATATTAGGAAATCAATGAAAACTTGAAAACACTGGACGGCCGTTTCGTCTTAGTGTAGGACTCGTCAGTAATGCGCATCCACGATCCCACGGGCGGTATTCAAACCCAAGAAGACGATCACGCAATATTATGGATTGATTGAAGTTAAACATTAACATTGTTGGATATTAGCTCAGTGGTCCATAGGTTAGATGTTTGTGTGCAAGACCAAACGTATTGGGCTGGAATTCTGCGTGAAAGATCGTGGATGCCCACTGCTAGAGAGTCTTATACTAGAACAAAACAGTCATCCAATGCTTCTAGGTTTTCAATAGTTTGTTTAACACTGATCCATCCATGATCTCAATTAGATAGATAACCTGTATCATTTATTTTTCAGTGCATATATATTTACAAGTATTTAAGAATATAAGTATAAGATAGACAGAACTCCTATACAATTTACACATGATTTATTCATAGGTTAATTTAGTACTTCAGAATAATTTCAAGACTCAGATGAAATCTGATAAGAATAAATAAGTAACATTAAGTGAATGACAATTACTGTCTTGTATTTTGTTTTTTTTTTTAAAGTAATTATCTAGTTTAAGTTTTACTAATCATAAAAACAGAGTTAATTTTTTCCCCTTTATATTGTTCTAATATTAAAAGTAAAGAAAAAACAAAACAGCATTTCGTTTATAGTTTACCTTTTGACAAATAAATGATGATTTAGTACACATAAATTATCTATCACTTAAAGGATATACAAATTAAATAAATAAACAGATACACAATTCTATTTGAATAATGATAATAAGGTAATAATTTGGTTGTCTACTATCACTTAGTATACGAATATGTATCGTATTAAGCTTATTCTATATTTTTTCCAGTAAAAATAAACAAGAAACAATCATTGAATATTATAATGATAAGTTTTTATTTATTGTCAAATATAAAATCATATCCATATGAAAGTAAGTATAAGCTAATGAAAAAACCAGTAATAAATAATATACAAATATCAGTATAGTGGTTGTGGAGATTATTAATTTTTTGATTGAGATCATGAACCGATTGATGTTAGACCACCATTGAAAACCTGTGAATACTGGACGGCCGTTTCGTCCTATTGCGAGACTCTTCAGCAGTGCGTGTTCACGGTCACACTTGCTGGATTCGAACCCAGGGCTTTCAGTTTTGCGCGCGAACGCCTAACCTACTGGACCGCTGGGCTGGCATCCACTGGTGTTAGTGTCTAACACCAATCAATTCACGAAATCTCGCAACTATTTTCCATTGTACTTAGGTAGATTCCTGGGACGGATTAGCTCCACTGGTGACGGCTTCTCAATAGAACTCCGAGAACACCCTCAAAAAGCTAGTCACTAGTGAGCACATGATAATTATCAGTGCAGGATTGTGGAAATCGTTAAGTTTTTGATTGAGATCATGAACCGTTCGCGCGCGAGGCTGAAGGTCCTGGGTTTGAGTGGGATCGTGGATGAGCACTGCTGAGGCGTCCCACAAAAGGACGAAACTGCCGTCCAGTGTTCCCAGGTTTTCAATGGTGGCCTAACATCAATCAATTCATGATCTCAATCAAAAAATATATAAATACTCGAAAAGCAAGCAGATTAAAACTAAAATTATACTAATAATTAATATTTAAGATAGAAATTTTAACTCACTTTTGTATTTTGACCAGATTTACGAGGAACAGCAAGTTTTGGATCAATCTAAAATTTTAGATAATAATTCAAAAATATTTAAATGAATGAAAAGAAATCCTTCAAGAGTTTATATGCTATCTAAATATCTCAATGGTAATATTATTAACCACAATACTAAGAGAAGCCATCTTAATTTATATAAAGAGTGTTAGTTAATTTAGGACAGAAGATACTATTCTCACGAAACCCGACTAGTAGTAAACCTTAGTTCATATTCCTTTGAACCATATAAACTCTACACTTCATTTATCAACATAGTATTTTTAATGAGACCTGTTTAGTCATTACTTGATTAATATATATATATATATATATATATATATATATATATATATATATATATATATATATATATATATACTTTTTTTCACATTCCAGAATTTCACTATAAATATATTACAATAGTATTTAGCAGTATTATGAAGTAATTAAACTTCATCAGTTGAGATGGCTGGGACACGTGTTACGTATGCTTTTGTGGCCCGTGGATCTGACTCCTATTTAGATCATGTGGATGTTTGCTATCGCCTATTCTCGTATATCATCATCGACTTGAATCGCGTTAGTCATTAACGGAATTAAATACGTCAAATAACGAGAATTGACTTGTGAATACATATATTTTGTATATGAAGCGAATGAAACAGAGCAAAGCAAAATGACACGCAGGAAAGATGGCTGGGAAGCCAACTCCCTTTTTGGTCAAGCGTTACTCAATATTTATAGTCAGACAAAATAAAGCTACAGACATGTGATTAATGGGATAAGAAGGGCACACACATATACGCTCATATAAAAACAGTCAAGACTGATAAGCGAATAATTGACAAGGTCAAAATATGACTCAAGTAGAATGAATAGAATGGAATGTCCGAAAGCTAGAATAAGATATATGGGCTTAACATAGTAACTGACCCTACAATGCCCAACCACCGACTGCCTCGAAGTGCAGTGTTTTAAAATGTAGGAGTAGGTTGGAAGAAAGCTAGAGGCGGCCAGACCAAAACATAGCACAAGTCCATGAAGTCACTGACAAGTGAACTGAGTCATGTTGGTAGGTGCAGACTACTTGGTTGGGGACCGCGAGATGGTAGCAACCGATGGTTAGAGACCTTGAATGACATTGCTCATAATCGTTTATAATAGCTCAGGTGCATTCACTCTTTGTGTTCTCCCAAATTTTAATCTTTTGAATTCATCATGTCCCCTTTTTATCTCTTTCGAAATTTATTTCACTGGATTATATTCCTTGAATAACATCTTCAAGCCTCAATCTTTCCGATTATTGCATATTACTACCTCTACCACTACGGGACTTGAATCGACAGCTGCATCTCTGTGCTAATGTCGTGTGGCAACTCGAACTGATGTACGTACGTACGAAGTTCTACATTGTCACTGCCTGACTGACTGAGTATCATGTTGACTAAAATAATTAATCAAAGTAATTGGAATAAAAGAATTTAAAAGAAAAATATAATGAACAAGGAAGTGATCTCTTATATAATCAATATTTATGTATGAATACCTAAATACAAATCTTATCCTTACGTCTAAATCATAACAAGAAAACAAGTGTAACTTCACTAAAATCTACTCTGTTTGTTTATAATATTCACATATTTTGTCAATATATATATATGAATATAATTCTGTTATACATCGTAATATGACAGAAATGTAATACCATTTTACAGTTATCCATAGAGTATAGACTTTATTTATTTAAAATTATAAACAGATTACGTTTTTTTTACCTTAGCAACAAACAGAAATTAATCAAAAATAAATGTAAAAAAATACAATTAAATAGCTTAGTAGTAAAAATATTTTTCATAGTTTATGGTTTGGATAGTTTATTATATTAGAAAATTTATGATATACATAGTGCATTGAATAATAATTCTTCTTAATTAACTATGTTTAAAAGGAGAATAAACCATTAGTCAGATATTATATTTATTAAAGAGAAACTTTAAAAGACAAGGAGAAAATCGGAATTATGCAAGTTAATTAGCTGTTTGGATCAATTCAATAATATTTGATATTTGCTTAGACTTTCTATGAACAATTAATTCATTGTTTAAAGATCCCTATCATATTGAAAGACTAGTATTTGAACTTCATGGTGCATTTGAGTAATAACTCTTTCATGACATTAATAGGAACAATAGTTTCAATTTCATTTTAAATCAATTGTTCACCTATATATTCCACAGTCTCTATGAGTGGGAGGTTTGTGAATAACAATGTTACATCCAATCACATCATTTTTAATCCCAACGTATTCAAATACTACTTAGTTAATTAATTTATGTATAAAGTTTATTCAGAAACATTTTTCAACATAGACACTTATAAAATGTGGCTATAACAATAATAAAGTAGTATATTAGGATTTCTGGAAATGTAGTAGAAAGTTTACTACAAACTTATGACATAACTGACTCATAAGACACATATCTAACCTAAAGATAGTATAAATTAGAAAGAGAATCATGTGAAAGGCTTTCAAATCAAAAAGCATTAAATAACTGGTTACAAATGTTCCAAGATTACTAATACTTACAATTTCAATATCAGGAATCTCGTCAATGGTAACTGTTTATCTATTGAACTATGGAGAATATTATTTATCAAACAAGAGCACCTGACTTAATTCAGTTTGTCAAACAAACATCATTAAACACGTCATGCAAATATTTATGATCATATTTACAGTGATTAGAGTATGTAGTTCACAACAAGATATCGCGAGCAAGTTAACGTAGATCTATTTATTTCAGTCAGTTATGATCAACATAATACTCCATTACCTGTGGTTTGATGAAAATGATGTGTACTGTACATAAATGTTATGCTAATTTAAGATGGATGGAAACTGGTATACTCTGCTGCAATATTTACATCTGGTCTTCAAGTGACTGAAACCGTTTACAAATCCGTTGTCTTAAGAATGAACAACATGAAACTTTATAATAATTTATCTCACTCAAATTATTATAATGACAAAAAAATCTGATCAGAAACTTTAAAGAATACCTTTTTATAGTCCAAAATATGTGGAGCTGTTTCAAGAACTTTTTCCACACATACTGGATCAGAAAATGTAATAAATCCAAAACCTCTATAAGAAAAGAAATGAAGATCAAATAAATAAATTAGTGAATCACTATTCATAGTTTTACTTAAAAAGGTTATTTTTATGATTAATCAATAGAATTCATGTTTCCTCTTTCGAAAGTTTGTTTCTATTTCATTCTGTGTTACGAAAACTGTTACTTAAAATTAGTTTGAAAAAAAGTTATGTTTTATATTGCTCAAATTTACCTAAATAAGGAAATGGTTGAAAAGTCATATTTCAAAGTTTGTTGGTTTTCAATGGCTACCTAATTGAGATCGACTTGTGATCGTAATAAAATATAATACTATAACAGATTTTGAGATATGGTTACTGTATATTCATTCCTGATCATTTTCACTGATCTATTTGGGAACCTGAAGACTGTAAAGATACACTATTAGTAATATAATCATAAACGCATGATAAGTATAAAGATAAATATTCAAATAAGCAAGATATAAATATATTTTACACTGTATTTTACCTTGATCTTTTTGTAAGAGGATCACGCATAATCATATATTCCCTAAGCTCACCATATTTTTGAAAATAGTCCCGTAAACCCTCTACAAAGTAAAATAATTTTAAAAAATGTGTATTGTTGATTAAAAGTATACTTAGTGTTCAAATGTATCATTAAAGTCTATTCTACCAAAGAATTACGTTGTTAAGTGTCATGAGATATTTAAATAATGAATATTTAAATAAAATCATGTTTAAGAATATCAATGCATTTACGGTCACTGAGTTAAAAAGTCTAGCTGTAAGGCTTTCATGGTTATTATTATAAATGACATCATCAAAGCCTACTTCAAATAAATTAATGCTGATGATGTTGTACAGAATGACAATTAAGATTTTTCAGTTAAGTTTTTCAATTCAGTGAACCCAACACCAGCAAAAGTCTTTAGTAAAATTAAGATAAATTTTACTACCCACTTTTGATTTCTTGTATGTTTTCTTTTTAATTGTATAATTAGAAGTAATATATTCATATATAGTATAGAATGTCCAATAAATCTTTGAATGTCTTTGAATAAACAAATTATCTTCATCAACAACAACGAAATCACCATGATAGTGATAATGATGAACTTTTGACATTTAACAGACAGTTTTAGAGTTACCAAACAAAATAAATAAGATGAAAGATTATTAGATAGATATAGTTTTCTTCCAATATTAGTCATCTTACTAAGTAGTAAATGATGGGAAAATAGTTGATTATTGTTTTATTATCGGAAGGGGTTTTGTGGAAATTTTAGTAATTTCAATAGTTGAAATCATGAGTCAATTGAAGCTAGACCACCATGGAAAACTTTGAAGCACTGAGCCAGCCGGCATCCAATGATGTTAATGGCTAACGTCAACTAATCCATGAAATTGAGCGACACATATACCATTGTTATCAGTGAGTTATTATCTCACAACAGACCTGGTTGAACACTACTGGTCACGGCTTCTCACTAGAACCTCAGGAAATGCTTCTTGAAGTCACTAGTAAGCAGAGAAGTAAATATGGAATTTTGAAAAATTCAACTGTAAAACATTTTTAATGGTAAGTTATAGTTCATAAATAGTTGTTAAAAGTAATTAAATGATCACTCGAATTCATTAAGGATCAAAATAAGTTTTTTTATTAAGAAATAATTTCGAATGTTAAAATACTACTCAACATTACAAATTAACATGGATTACTTCCAAGTGATTCAAAAAAGACGTGCTTTTTGGATTTTTATAGATATCCCTGATATGTAACTTAATATTTCCTCGTGGACATCTGTAGAACCAGTTACCAAGTGTTTCTTTTAAACGTCTGTCAAGACGTATACGATCCCAAGCAGAAATTTAAATAATTGACGATTTTAACTTCAGCGTTAGAGGGGAGCATAAAATATTTTTAAAGTTGACGGAGACATAATAAGTTTGTATTTTAATTATTCCGCTGTAAAATGTGTAGAGATTATACACCAGCTCAGCATCGTAAAATAGAACTGTCTCATTTTTTGGTTCAGATCGATCATCAGAAAAGGGTAGAATCTCTAATCTTTAACTGAAAAAGCTAATTTCATGACCATACCTTTAATGAAGCTTACCAGTGGACATTTATGGTGTAAATTACAATCTCACGAATACATGTTTATATCAATTTCAACTACTAAATAATTTCCATATCCTCATATGTTCCCGTTAAGAGAAGCAAAATCCTGAGTATGAACAATATTTTGCATCTCACGACACTATAAACAAGATAATGAAGTCAATAATAACAACCAAGTAACTGCTACTAAACTACAATAATAGTGATTAGAAAATATCAAGGCAAGAAAACAAAAATGAAGATTATTATTACTAAAGTTGATGGGTTCGATCCTTAGTCATGTTGTGGTTGTTTATTACTGAAGTGTCCTATACTAGAGTGAAATAGGTGTCTAATGCATCCTGATTTTTAGCGTTAGCTTAACTAAAACCAGTCAATGATGTAAACTACGAATATTTAACAATCACCATAAAAATCCTAAAATATTGTTATTATTATAAAATTCAATCAATATTACTCATTCCAACTTGTTCGTCTTTATCATAGCTAATCAGACTTTACAATAATGTGGTACTTTCTGCAATAATACTAATGATCATAATAGTTCATCGTATGTTTCCTATTATTTATTGGTAAATCTTCTAATATTCATTTCTTCATAGAAAGTGATCGATCGGCTATCAAAATCACATAAGATATTATTACTAATATTATTATTAAGTGGTGATTGCTTATTAAGTACTTATTATGACATTTGTACAAACGTTTCATAAAACCATGTTCAATATTCTTTACTTACAGAAAAGAAAATTCATAAAACATATTAACCATATAAAAGTAAGAATAATCGTGACTGAGTATCCCTGAAAGTCAAAATGGTTATCGCGTAAAACAATTTTTTTTAGTTTTTCTTAGAGAAATAATACTTTGTCAGGTAACTGCAAATAGATAACTACAATTTCAGTTACTGTGGTGGGTTTTAGCATAAGCAAAAGACTAAAACTCTTTATTCTACCAGTTTTTATAAAACCAATAGAAAAATAATGTAGAAGTTTGCTATTTGAAACTCTTCTTTCAATCAGTTGATTAATCAATACAAATGTAGATCCTTGGACGAATTTGTATCGGTTCAAGCTGTTCTATCTTACATTTGTAAGGCAACAAATAAAACAAATAGGATGAAAAGTAAAGAGGATCCCTTAGATTCAGCGGCAATCGAAGTGAACTCTTAAAATGTATGGCTCAAATGAAACAAATAGAATAGAGGAATTATGAATGACATTTAACTCAAGATTTGAACGAAGACAAAGAATGAATGAAGCTGAACCAATGAGATCGAAATTGCACTAAGTAACCTAAAACAATTCAAGATTAACCTACACAATAGATTATGCTGATGGATTACCATTATCAGTGTGATGTTTTTACATGTATGTTAAGTAAAAGTATATTTTCAAAATGTACAGCTATAATTATTTTATTTATGAACTTATAAAAGCATTTTATTCTTGTTCATATTTGCGAGATATTCGTTCTCTTAACTCTGAGGATGAATCAGTGTGATTCTTCTATAGGGGATGAATAATTCCCAGATCAACATTTATCACTTTTCAGTTGTTATTGTAGTGAACATGAACACTAGTGGGGATAATCGAATGTAATTAACACAAAATTACAGGACTTGTTAATAAAATCTAACAATCACAAAGTAAATGCTTAATTTGCAAAATGTCCATCAATTGTCTCAAAATGACTCAGACCTGATTGTTCTCGTATTTTCATAGAAATTACATTCTGTTTCGATTCTTTACTGTTTGATCTTCTTGTCTCTCTGCTGCCAGACCTTCTATTCAGGGATAACATCATATACTACTTATGTCAATATAAGTAGCACACACCACATTATGAATTCATAAAGAAAAGTGGTCTTACATTCACATATTGAGTGATGGATTAAAAATTGTCATTAATTTGAAATCTAGAGATTAAAATTGTTTTTTCCAAGCTATATATTTGCTTCTAGTTATTACGATTATTGGATCCTTCATATCAGAATTGACTTAAATTCATCAGAATACTGATTTCATTACCAATATTTTGGCTACATCCTACCCTTTTTTGCAGCCTATGTAAGATTCACATCTAAGGTTTAAAGAAAACTACAGTGTAGATCCATATATTTAAAAACAGATTACTTTTCAACAAATGTACGTAGGTTTTTTATTTACCTTGGTTTGTTACGACATTATGCTGATGAGAATATGAACATACATAGGAAAGAATATAAGATATGAAAAGCAAGGAAGCATTGGTTGTCGATAGGATTCCTTTAACAATGACAATAACGGTAAAAAAAAGTGAAAACCACGACAAAATTTTGGCTTAACAAATAAAGGGAAAATGGAGAAGAGGAGAACTAGATAATTTTACATCACAAATAAATACAAACACATACATAATAGATATCCGGTATTAGTTGTAGGAAGACTCAACTTACCAGATGTTGTAGTAGGACTGAGGCCACCGATAAACATTTTCCTAAAATATGAGAAAAATAAAAGAAGAAAACTGTAGACGGATGAACAATCCAGTGACGATCAGCATATGAAGGAAAACCAAAAGAAACGTATAATTGCTGCATAACAGAAACAAAAACCGAACTTAATATAACAATAATTACTACTATTATTATTGTAAGTAAAGAATGTGTAGTAAAAGAGAGAATCGAGGACAATTCAAATGAAGAAGAGAGTATAATACACGTATGTGTTTATGTTTATTTGTTTATTTATCTAGGTTTCTGCGAGCACACCTACACATTGACGAATTTTTACAGAGTGAAGCATTCACGTGAACCTATTGCGCACCAGAAAGAGAGGAAGGAAAAAGGAAAGCAATGAATCTACTAGTTTTTCTGAATTTTCAACACTCCTATATATATATATATATATATATATATATATATATATATATATATATATATATATCAAGCTGTGATTAATACTTAATAAATAAGCGAACACATAAATGACTCTTCAAATTAGAATATACAAATAACATCATCAACAGTAGGAGCAACCTTGGCAAAACTATAATTCAACTAGATGTTATACTAAGAAGAAATATAATTCTACCTAATGTTTCGGCAAAGGTAAAGCAACAAATTAAAAAGTAAACAACAATTGAGACAGTATATATGTAAACATATATTTCGACTAATATCAATATACTGAAAAGGGATGACTAATCAAATTGGACAGAATGTGTGGTTATTATAAAACGAAAAAGAATAATAATAATTGAGAAATAAGTGTTATCCATTGCTTACGTGTAATATTCTTCATGATCAATATGATAATAATTCAATTAGTTGATGAATTCAATAGATAAAACTGTTTCTATATTGTTTCCTTTGTACTATCTAAACTTGTATTAATTGAATTCAGTAATTTATTTACTGTGAAGAAGTGGCTTATATTAAGTCACGAAATGTCAGAAATACAAGTATTCTACTCATTGGAATGTAGTAACTATACAATTATATATATAATAAACTGTTATACTGTTTATATTTGTTTCATGTTAATCAAAAGATAGTTTTGATAAAACCACAATCATATAAGAATCTTATTTTAGAAAAGAAATACAGCTATACGATGGATTTGTAAATGTTTTTTGTTTATTCATTGAATTAATGTCCTAACTAAGAGCTTACATAAATCATTATTCTTTTTAATAGTGTATACTATTTTAATATTTCATCTTTTATTTATTTATTTTAACATGTAGATATTGGTACAAGGAGGCACCAAATACATATGCACCACACAAATCTCATTCGATATGTGTGAGGGCTGTGATACCGCTCGGGTGCCAAAACCCAAACAGGTGGTTTCCTTAGGAGGCCACCACCCAAACCTTAGATCTGAAGGTCTGATCCACAAGCCAGTGGAGCATCGTGAGGAGATGCTGTCCCATGGAAGCCGGTGACCAACAATTGGACCATACGCCAATTGTTCCCGTAGGATACTGGAGCTCATGTGCACCATTGGTTTGGAAACCGGTTAAAGCGCTGGACATTCACTTTTCGTCCTCTCATTTTCGTAAATAACACCCCGGTCACGAGAAGGCAGTGAGTAGGACTTGCCTGTCAGATGCTATATACGTGTGGCTATGTGAGAGGATTTTGAGAGGGAGAGCGGACTCTTCCCACTTTCGGCCGTACCAGGGCATTTGGAGGCCAAGTACTGACCGGGCCCAACGTTGCTTAACTGTGGTGATCGGACGAGAACCGGTGCTTTCAACGTGGTATGGTCTGATTGTATACCTGCACTACAGTCCATATAAGTCGATTAGGCTAGTAATATTGTTAAACATGTAAAAATCTGAATATCATATAAAACCTAATATTGGTAAATATGAGCTTCATTCTCATTACAAATTTAGTTCAAATAGCTAAAAACATACGTGAAATACGGCAGTAGTTTATTTATTTTGTGAAACATTTCAAGCTTATTATATTGACAAAATGTTTAATGTTCACCTAATATAGTAATTAGCATTATTTATTACACGAATACAACGAGTACTAATGATATATGTATTGAAAAATGAAGTTACGTAATCATTCATTATTAATCTTTTATTTAAGACAATTTATTCAAATGATCAATTTGGCTTGATTGGTGCTGCTATTCAACCAATATGTTTAATTCAACCTTATGAATTCATAAATCAAATACGGTAGGTAGAATGGATTTATTATAATCATAATTTATTTAATAAAAGCTATTTGCACAAAATAATGTTTAAATTTCCAACATTCCAAAGATATACATGAAACTCGAACAGATTGAATCTCAAGGAAGTAATCTGAAAGAAATGAGGATAAGTAACCTTTGAAAAGTGAAATGTTTGGTAACTCATGAATTCAAACATAAATTCTGTGTTATATACATCGTAAATAGTAAAATGAATATCAATGATTCCCAGAATTATTGATCTTCAATTCATTCCCGCTTTAACCGATTTAACATTCACTTACATTATAATGGAATTTTAAAGTGATTAGTAAATTTCAAAGTTTCATATCAGCTGTAAATGAGCTAGTTATACTATTGGTTACATTAGTTATAATACTAGAAATACAATTTTACACACCTTAATCAATAACGTTTAGTTAGAAATGTCATAGAGAAAAACATAAGTAACAACATATTTAACATAATCATTAAGACTGATTAATAGTTGTACATGAAGTTGTGTAAAGAAGTGGGTGATGTCACAAATAATAATAAAAGTTTGTAACAAATGAGTGTTAGTTAAATCACCCAGTTAGTATAAGAATAGCATTGTAATTTAACGTCATGAGTCAATGTCAGTGGAATTACGGCTTGACCTTTGGATATAAAGTGGAAGTGTGGGTAACCTCTCGTTACCATGGTAAAATTATTATATTGTTATAAGGTTTGCTATTAACTCAATCGCTTTATCTTTGACATAGAAAAATAATTCCATTGTTATCTTAATGAAACTTGACTGTTATGTTAAATATGTTGTTACTTATGTTTTTCACTGTGACTTTCTAACTAAACGTCATTGGCTAAGTTGTGTAAAACTTTGATTCTAGTAATATAAATGATGTAACTAGTAATATAAGTCGGCCATTTACAGCCGATATAAAACTATGAAATATAATGAAATCGTGATTTTTTTCGATAATCTTGTTATTCTTGCTTTATTTAAATTTATCAAAGGATCAGGGGGTATGTGATTAGTAAGCGGATAGCTCTATCAAAGCTATTTTTCTATCTCTCCATTTATCTATAATGCAGAATTACAAAGCATCGATAACATAAGACTATATCAAATACGTAATGAATTTAAAATTGATATGAAACTTCTTTATTTCTTCTCAAAAATTCTGTATTTAAATAATTTAACAGTAAAAAGTAAGCAATCACATTCCTATCACAGATCATAGATGCAATCCTTTTAGATAGATCCTTTTTATGCTGAAATGATGATTCTTCACTAACATCAATTATTAATTTCATTATCTTATGAAAAAGATTAACCTGAATATATTCTGGTCCTTAAATTACATTAACTTTTTGACAGTGAGCACTCAAAATTTCAACACGAACCTCCTGGTATCTTGATCACCATGATACAATTCAAGTAATCAGTCAGAATTCAATGGTTTTGATTTCCTACTATTGATCAATTGAGTCAGTTATACCAAATCGTTCAATAAAATATAATTATTTCACCAATAAAAATTTTCTACTTCAACCTAACGTCATCGAAATATCAATGTTTGTAAACATTTTCTACTACTACAGTTTTTAATTACACGCTTGAATAACTGATTAAATATTACGTATCATTTTAAAATTTATTACTTATACTTTGAATATAGAGTAAAGAATAGAAATAACTACAAGTGGTTAGTAATGAGTTAAAGATAGAAAACTTAAATGATTATCAGTTTTTATGACTGACAATTACGCAAAGAAATAATCAGGTCAAGTTGTATTTAAATAAGTAAGATATATGTAGTACCATGTTAATAATTTAAGAAAATCACCATATAACTAGAGTACAAGTAGGACTGTAATCAATAAGCACGTTGTTTTTTTAAGTTTTGGAAAACTAAGTTGATAGAAGCCAATAACTTTTTAATGAATATGAGAAAATTTCATCATAGTGATTGAATATTAATCTTCATGTTCGAATAGTTACCACCGACATATGAATTGACTCCATGCAATAAATCGGTGAACAATAATCATAGACTTATATCTCGTTCATAAAATGTTGACAAAAATGGTCCAGAAGGAAAGAAAAAAATATAATTGTCTTTTTGTAAGACTAGTGATATCATCAGGATTTCAAAACTCAAAACGGTGACACAAAGATTGAGTTTACAACAAGATAGTTAACAAACTATTTTAATTACTAAGTAGTGGCTTAGCAAATGAACATATATACTTAATTGGCCTAACTTAAGTAAACTACCCCATAGAAAAAATTATTAAAACTGAATGTTTCACTACAAAATATCAAGTATTGTGAAGCGAACAATATTCTTTAATTCTAAAACTCTATAACGGTATGTATCAGTAATATTTTACTGTATCGATTCATCTGATGTGATAGTGATAAAGATAGGTTTTTTTTCTCTCTCACATAAGTATGGGTAAAATAGTACGAATTTATTGATTAACCACGATAAAAGTGAATGATAAGATCATATTAGTGATATAAGTTTTAATAGTAACACTTTGTGAATTTCAGTATTTATTAACTTGTAATATCAGATTACTTTTCGTCAGATTTATTGAACCAATTTAGTACATTCCACTGAATAAAAACAATATATATGTGCTTTTCAGATATGCATGTGAAAAGTTTCGGAAAAAAAAGGAAAGAAAAAGATATACAATTATGTTTTATTCAGTTCAATTGTTTGTTATATCCAATAAAATTTGTAATTGTCAATTGGTGGTTAATTTTTTAAAGTTAACATTAGAAAG